TGTTGCTTTCTGTACATGTACTGTTTCCTTGTTTTTTTTTTTTTTCATTTATACCCTTCTCAAATAGTAAGTCTGTAAAGAGTATGACCTCACCTCCCTCATTTTACCTATTAACTTACTGTCTATGACCCCTGTAGACTGTAGTTTGGGTGGGGCCGGGGTTGAGTAACATACTCATCCCACCCCTCCCCTCAAAAAACTCTAATTTACTCTTTTTTTTTTGGCACCTTTTCGTACATAATAATAAAAAGATTAATTTATTTCTGTCCTAATTCAAGTTTTCCGATTTGTAAAATTTCGACTATATTTTGCGACAAGCAAAATTAAGTGGCCAGTTGTGTAATTAGCAGTTAAAACGCATTAATACACCCCTACACGCCAAGGTTTGTTGACCTGGATGGTTGGACCGTTCTACTCGGGAATTGTTTAGGCAATTGGTTCGTTTTACCCTAAATTCGGTTTTAGTCAAAACTGTTGAAAAAGTCAATAATTCATTGATTTGGGCAGTCCAACTATCAATTCGTTGACCTGTTCAACGATTTTTGACTGTTTTTTATTTTTAATTATTTATATATATTTTTAATTTATTTATCAAAACAGGCCATCTGTTGGTCAGACTGTCGATCCAGAAACCAGTGGCCAGAACGGTTCTAAAACATTGCCTATAAGATTTATTCTTTATTACAATGGGACCCTCGTTCCAGTACTCCTTTTTACATCTTTCTTATGAAATGTTTCAAATGAGAACTTTTAATCCTACAATTATAAGAACAGACATAAAAGAACATAGTTATCGTAGTCCAAACATTTCATAATAAAAGAAATGGTCATTTATTAAAACACCCCTTATCATTTCATAAATTTACCTTATAGTTTGTGTTTTATTAAAACATCCCCTATAGTTTATAATCAATTTACTTAACGGAAAAGTATGGATAGGCCCAATGCAAATTTTTTTATTTTTACTCCAGAGCTATAAACGTTCAAAATGTCAACACCCCACACTCTATGCACCAACACCCGCCCGTGAATTGGCATCAATTCTGAGCTAGCACTACCCCAACAGTATTTTGGGCCTACAAATTCTGACCCTAGGCTGAACCGTCATTCTTCCATTCTAATCAACCTTCCAATAGATTAAAATAAAAAATGACAGTTTTAACCTTAACATCCATTAATTCAAATAAACTTAATCAAAAGAAACTAAAAACAAAAATACCATTTTTTTTGCTCCTAGTAAAACACAGACACCTACTCTATCTTTCTCTATTTTGTCAATTTTGTTTTTTATACAAAAAAGTGCTGGGTACTTTTTGTAATAAACAACCATGGATCCTTATCCTTGAACATTTTCTATTCAGTTTAAGGGTACTTTTGGAATAAACAACCATGGGTCCATGCCCTTTGAACATTTTACACTTTGTTTAGATAATCATATTACTATTTTCAGATGATCAAACAAATAGTTCTTAATGAAAAGTCAATTAAATAAATAGGTTGCATACTATAAGAAGAAATGTTTTAGTAAAAAAACAAAATATAGGATAGGTCTTAAAAAATCTATAAAACTATTAGGAAATGTTCTAATAAATAACCCTTAAAAGAAATATATAGAAACCCATGTCACTATAACAGAAAGGCAAATGAGTGTATATTACGGTGGAGAAAAGTCAGACGATGATGATGATGATGATGATATATAGTGAGCAAAAAGTAAAAATGGTTGAAACTTAACTAATATGATTACAAATTGCACCAGTGTCCTTAAACAGCCCCCCTCGAAATAATAAAATGAAAGAGAAAGAAATATATTGCTCTGCATGTATTAAAAAGTTAGTGTAGCAATAAAAGAACTTTATACCAATTACATCAGCAGTCAAACTGTCCGAGTCAACGATTTATTAATTAATTTAATTGTTTTTGACTGAATACTAAATTTAGGTAAAATGGAACCGATCGCCTAAACAGCTTTCGGTCTAAACGATCTAATTGTTCGGATCAACAACGGTTCCAAAACATTGGTATGAAGTTCTGAAGATAAGATCTGCAATTAAATTAAATTCCTCGGATTAATTAAGGTATGCACACATTATATGCTACTGACCATACCAACGTATTCAATATATTATCAATTTATAGCAACCAATAAATAAAAAAAAAATATTATTGAAAAGAAGGTAGCGCAGTAATTGTTTACTGTATATATGCCATTCCGTATTTCCGTGTGAAAGGAAAGATTAATAAATTAAAAGATTGTGAAAAAACTAATCGATTCGCTTTCACCCTTTTAAGATATTTTTTATATTTTTAATTATATTTACGTATTGATATTTTTTTATATAGATACTGATAAATAATTTAATAATATTATATGAATCCAATTGATGAAAATATGCATCCATAAGGCTAATGTAATTGTCAGACCTGTTACTTTTTATTTTTATATTGTCGGAGTTTGGTAGGTTTTAGTAGTCATCATCAAATCTTTTTTTTTTTTTTCTTTTTCTTTTTCTTATATTTGATTTCACCAATTGTAATCATCATCATCGTCATCAAACTTGAACCATACTTTGACAATACTAAAATAAGAAAGCAATATGAATGTAAATAAATAAACAGACTTATCAGGTCTGGTAATGAATATATGGCATCAGTTTGATTAAAAGGCACAAAGTCTCTACCCCACCCTAATCCAATTATTTTTGAGTTTTCTAAGTAGGTGTTTGGTATTAATGTGGTTCTTTCATAGTATTATATTTGAAATCTGTGTTTTGGGAAAACGTGTGTAATCTTTGATTAATCATTTTTTTTGAAAAAAAAAAATTCATAGACTATGTCTCAGATTGGAAAAGATGTAATTTGAGACAACATCTGTTTTAGTATTATTTTTTTTTCCCATTTTTTTACTAGGGATAAGTATACTGCAGTCTACCTCAGAATTGTAAATTAAACTGAAGATTTACAATAATTCAAAATTATAAAAACCTCCACTATAACACCTACCTGCCCTGTTAATTGTATGGTGGAGTTAGGATTTTTGATGGAAGACTGAACAGTAAAAACCCCTTTTTAACATGACATTGAAAAACGTCTATAGCAACATTAGCAATGGTATCAAATAAAAAAAATCTAAGAAAATGTTTTTTAAAAAAAACAACATGCTTTTTCTAAGTAAACACTACCAGGAAACGCCATTGTTTCAAAAAAAAAAGTAAAAAGTAAATGCATTTAATTACAGTAATTCTTCTTTTTTTGGTCAGGGGATCATCACATGTCATCAATTCCCAATAGCGGCCCCAACTTGTATGGATTTATAGCAGTAATCCAAGCGGACCAAGCCCACATGGAATGGAATTGCCCATTGGCCTTTGAAAGATGAGAGAAAACCCCTTTTCCCCTAATTTTTTGGGATTTTATAGTTTAGTCCACCCTTATAAATCTTAACCCCACCGGGCAGGATGCGTTTTATATGGGGCTACAGAGAGAGATTGACAGGTATGAGATGGATTGATTGACCAGTTCCCATAACCAGCTGTCCTTGTGGCTAAAATAGCAAGGGAATCTATACAGTTGAGCAATCTCAACAAATCTTTTACGGTTTGTTGACCAACATGGTAAGCGCGTTCATACTTCATAAAGATTATATGTTATGGCTTGTTTTGGTTAGAATTTAGAATTGGGAAGTTGGAATGGTGCGTATTACTCATAAAACTAAATCGAAATCTAAAGCAAATATAGCATCTATAATCTCTTTCTCTCTCTCTCTTTATAGGGTTAGGGTTACACTAGTAATATATATTATTTTGACTAAAGCACCCTTTAATCATTAAGGTTCTGAAAGAATATCTATATCTATATGCATACATCCAAGTTGTTCCTTCCTTTCATCAACTACATACATGCATGTTTATCCAAATCCGAATAATAATTTAAATAAAACAAAGATGATAAAAGGGAGAAGAAAAGTTGCTCTACATTTGTACTTGTTAACTAGCTGTTTGTTAGTTTGCTTTTAACTTCTTAAGTTGTTACCACTAAACATGGTTGGAGTGGCTATTGTTGTGTTGTGGAGCCCAGCTTAATATATTAATGCAAGCTACAATTCCTGGGGAAGAAGGTTGTGATACGTGGCTGAGAGTTAGGCACCACTGCAGCATGCGGCGACCCTCAGTAGCGATACATGTCAATTCTCTTCTTCCCGGCCCCCTTCCATTTTTCTTCTTTTCTGTCTTGTCTTTACTATCTAACTCTATATTTGCTTCACTATACAATATAATAATTATCAACAAAATTACAACTCAATTTGTGGCTGTGGCCCTAGACCAGGAAAAATAAACGATTTTACTTGATTCACAGAATTTTATTACACGCTTGACCCGATTCACTTACCCATTTCCCCTCTTGGATTGTCACTAGTAATTGTGAGCCTTGTCCGGTTCAATTTGGTTAGACCCACAGAATTAATCTCCATTCCCGAATCTTAAATCCGATTTTGAATTGGGTTGAATACACGCCTTCCAACTTCCAATTTGTAACTGTGGAAGTCAGTAGCAATGAGATTCTTCTGCTTTTTCAAATTGTCGGATTGAGAGAGAGAGAGAGGGAGAGGGTGTTGGGTATAGGTATAGAGAGAGAGAGAGAGAGAGAGAGCGCACAACATCTATTCTATTCTAATCGGAAAAAGAAGGTATCTTTCTTTTCTTCCTCCAAATATATTGCTTACTTTATTTAACTCCAATATGTATAGTATCCGGAATCTAAATTCTCTCGTCTTTAGATAGAAAGGGATGAAGATTAAAGAAGACCCATTTCGTTTGACCCGACAATTAAGATAAAATAGATAAGGTCGTTTCCCCACTTGTTCCTTCTCTCTCACTTCGCATTCACCATCACCAGCTACAGTTGACTGTAGAACAGAAGGACGGATGACTGATCAAATCAGATCAGGGAAGAGGGGGGTGCTATTATCCATTGGCATAAACGTGGCTGTAAAGTGTTGGAAGTTGAGCGGGAGGTCCACTTGGCGGGAATGGTGGACCCACGTCTCGCTCATCCGTTCGGTTGGGGTTCCGTTGAAGGGGGGAGAGAGAGAGAGATGTTGATTAATGATTATAATGAGGAAGAGAAGATTTGAGAGAGAAAGAGAGAAGAGAGGGAATCCGATAGATATAGAAATCGTCGGCGAGTGAAAATCCTCAAAACCAAAGAAAATAATAAGGTTCTTTAAATGACGGCACATGGGCGGCACGCCGGGGCCGTCTTTTTTGGGTTATAAATTCTTGAGAGACGGTCTCGGCTTCTCGTCACTCTCCACTTGTCTGCATCCTCACTCACGTGCTTTCTTTCTCTGCTCTGCTTCTCTGCTTCTCTGCTTTCTTTTTGTTTCTCCACAAATCTTATCTTGTTTCCTTGATTTGGCTTTTCTGGGACCGGCGGTTAGTTGGAGATATCAATTAAGTTTTCTGGGGTTAGTTTTGTTTGTTGGTTGAGAAAGAAAGTAACACAGAGAACAATAAAGAGACATGGATGGTAGGAAGCAAGTAACTTCTTCTTCTTCTTCGTTTCCTTCAGACCTTTTCGGTGCCAAGAACTCCTCTTCCTCTTCATCGTCGGGAATCTTTGGGTCTGTTTTTTCAGCGTCATCCACGGTATTGTGTTGTTCTTATCGTTTTTCTTCCATTACTTTTTTGTTTGAGCTTATCCGATTTGTCTGCGATCATTCGACCCATTGTGGACGATTTTAGAAAAGCAAGAGTTTGATTTGCATTTACTCATTCTGTTCCCTTATAGTTTGCATGTCGTAGCCTTTTTGTTCTCTGGGTGTCTTGAACCTCGTGATCTCCAGATGAAATCTCTGGAGGGTGGGAAGGAAAGGGATATGGTTACTTTCTATTGAATGATTTTGATCTGTTAGCAAAGAAAAGGGGTAAGGAGAGTGTATTTGGGTTGATTAAGCAGCCCATTTAGAACGGACGGATTCTTGCCGCGCTTGTTTATTGTGCTGTCCTATGTTACTTTGTAATGTAATTGATGATCCTTCCAATGTGTTGCTCTTCTTTGTCATTGTGGGTATTTCAGTTTTATTTCCACATGTTGTTCTCACGAGTGCTGCTTTTCTTTGGTATAGAGTATAGACTATATTAAGAATTTCCCCCCTTTTTTCTTTTTTTTTTTATTTTTCTATTTTGCGGGCTAAATTTCTCTATTTATGCTTTTCTGATTTCAGGTGGTGGGCAAGGAGTCTTCAAACTCTGAATTGATTGGTTCGTCGAGGAAACAGGAATCTGCAAGTCAGTTCTGGAACACCAAACAGGGAGTCCCAGGTATGAAACCTACGCTTCAATTGTTCTTGCATGCTCCTCTATATATGAAACTTTTCCGAAGAGATTCTTTTGGATTGGTTTCCCTAGTCCCTACCATTAAAGATGCTTGTTTGTTCGGGATTGTGTAACTTTGTTTTCATGCATTTTTGAAACGGGCTACTTGGTTCAAATCTGGTACAAGTTCCATGAAATTCATCCATACTCTGTTTTTAAGAGGTTTACGTGGTTTCGGGACCTTTTTAAATGCTTTTGCAATGTTCAAAATTTATTTCATTTTTTGAGTCCTCTCTTTTGAAGTTTCATGTACTTTTCCCCCATTGTAAGTGAGAGTTGGTTACCTTAAAACATCGCCTAAGTTATCCAATCAAGCGCTCATTCGGTTCCTGTAGATTTAGACATAAATTATCTCTTTGGTTCATTTATGCCGCAACTTTCTAGCTTCATTCTTTGACTCTAAAAAACTTGGAACTTCAACAAGTAGATCTTTTTCATTTGAACTGCAACTATGTGTTTCTTAGTGAGCCCTTTTGTTTAAAACATTGTTGCTCTTCGCTACTTAAACTAACCCCAGATGATGATATGTTTTTCCTTTTCCCATTTCCTTTCTGAGTATGCATACTTTTATATCCTCTGACCTTCAGAAATCATTAACCTCTGGGCAACATTTCCTGAACGTACATGTACTCTCTTGTCAGGAAAATATGCCGACAACAGGGAAGGCCACGGCCATGGCATTCTGAACAAGGACAGGAATTCTATTTACCAGGGTGAGACAGTAGAACCATGTTGTCTCAGCTCGTCTCTTTATTATGGTGGCCAGGAAGTTTATACCCAATCTTCAAGCAGCCGGGTCTCCGAATCAAAACCTATTGTGAGTATATCTTTAAATCCCTCCAATTATTTTTGCAAAACTTTAGCCATGATTGATAGAGTCACTTTGAGCAAGTGACCCACCAGTCATCACTTTGGACCATCATTGATGGGGCAGTAACCCGAGATAAGCGTTATCCAAACTATGCATCTCATCAATATCAAGTAAACGATAGAATTTTATCTTTTTTTGCATTTGGAGAAGTTCACAAATCAGGCTCCTAGAGATCCCTCTAGTTGGTCAAACTTGAAATGTGCCCCACTGAGAAGAGAGTAGTCAAATATGGATAGCCTGAGATGTATAGGAACATTGTCTTTTCCCCGTCCAGTACTTCTGTTTTAACCCGAGATAAGCGTTATCCAAACTATGCATCTCATCAATATCGAGTAAACGATAGAATTTTATCTTTTTTTGCATTTGGAGAAGTTCACAAATCAGGCTCCTAGAGATCCCTCTAGTTGGTCAAACTTGAAATGTGCCCCACTGAGRAGAGAGTAGTCAAATATGGATAGCCTGAGATGTATAGGAACATTGTCTTTTCCCCGTCCAGTACTTCTGTTTGCATCTTCTTTAATAAAAAGTTACCTTTGATTCAAAAAAAAAAAGTCTGTAAGCTACAGATGCTGAAATCTTTTACTAATGGAAATATTAAGGTATAATAAGCTTAGTAGTAGTGAGTCTCCTGTCTCTTGAGTAGAGTTACCCTTTCTCCACTACATTAGCTAGGATTTGTACAAGTAATGTCATCCAGTTATCACAGTTAGTGTTATAAATTTGCCTTTTATTGGCTCAAGTCAGGATCTAATATACTAGTGTCTACAATTTTGTGTTATATCAGTTCAAGAAAGATGGGGAGGATGATCCAAATGGAAACAATTTAAACAGTGCTTCAAGAGGGAATTGGTGGCAAGGTATGATTGTCATAGATGAAAACAAAAGATGCTATGTGAGCCGTGCTAAGTTGCTAACTTCGTATCTCTGACTTGACTTTTTCTCAGGATCACTCTATTACTAAAGCCTCGTCTTCCAGAGAATGTTTTTTTCTGCATCTACATACTAAGGTCTGCTCAACTCTTAAGTAGTTTTGTTTAATTTAGTTTCTACAACAAAGGAGTATGTATTATCGCCCTTTTCTAACATCTTTCTTAATTTCATTTGTTTCTACAACAAATGAAAATTTTCTCCCTCTTGTCATGATGAGGCATATTTTTAAATCTTGAGGGGCTTTACAGAAAAAATTACGAGTAAATGAGCCTTGGTTTGTCATCTTTGATGTGGGGTGACGACAAAAACCTGTTTCTTAGAGTGGTGTCCAACTGATAATTTTTACTCATGTATTTCTGTTGCGTTCTTTGCAGGAACTAAAAAATGGTTTGGCAGTGGTTTGAGATCTGCCCTTTGTATATGGAAGAAATATGGTATACATATATAGTTAGTCTGGTGTGGACAGAATTTCCAATGGGTTTGTTTTTTGCTTTTCCCAGTCGGATAGTATAGCAGAAAACCTTTGTCTAGTTTGATTTTGTTTTTATACTAGTAGCTTACTTGGGAGAGATGGTTAGGTCAGGGATGCTATGTAACGTCTATCTCCCAGTGTTTTCTGACTACACATCTGGAAGTGGAAGTTGGCTAGCCTAATCTTCCTTCTGTATATGATAGCTGGTCTATGTTACTTGGCTTTTCAATTCCAACAAGATGTGTAGCTATGAAAAGTATATATGTTGTGGGCCTGTTTTCCTTTACAGCTTGTGTGAAAAAAAAATTAAAAAGATATTCTGATAGATACATATCTAACTCTTGTTTCCATTGCTGTGTGTATTATTGTATTATTTGATCATATGTGGAAATGGGGCATGGGGCATTTCAAGAGAGAAAATAATTGATTCTGGAAGGAAATTTGATCTGGAAAGCAGGAGGGGATATGCTGTTGCCTGTCAGATGGGAAAGTATCCTGACGCCCAGCCTCCTCTTCTCCCCCCCACATGCATTGACTTGAGTCCGACCGGATGACAGTTTTACTGTTTACTGTCCCAGTATTGCTGGGATATGCTTTCCAAATCATTTCCCTTTCAGCTCCATGTTTGGTTTTTGTTTTCTCAGCCGGTTCACTTTTACATCAACGCAAACAACATTTAGTGGAGTGGAGACAAATAATCGCAAAAGAAGAAATATAAATGACAACTGTAATAGGAAATTTGTACTCTGCTGTTTGGATAAGCTTTGGTCTGTGTAAAACAAAATTGGAGCCAAAAAAAAATGCTTTCATTGTTTGGTAAGAGTTGTTTTTGAAAACATTAGGTGAACTTCGAAGCCAAAACACTTTTTAAGTCCTAAAGCACAAAGCCTGAAATTGGGGCTTTTATGCTTTTGATCTAGAAAAGCACACATCTTGAAGCTTTTATTATCCAAACGTTGAAATTTAAGCGTAGAGAAACAGAAATATGGATCTTCAGCACAAATTTTCTAATATCAATCTGACGTCGCACGTCAGTTGGTTGAAAACATTATCTATTATCCTCTCACCGACAAGGAGGAGCCTCTCGAAAGCTGCTTCAATCTCGGTTGCACAAAATGGGGGTTTATTGAGTTCAGAGTGTCCTCGTTGTACTTAGCTTTTTGGTTAAGGACTTGTGTTGTATTAAAATGCGAAGTGCATCAAAATGACAGTTTCCCCAGTAATAGGCTGAGTCCAGTAATTTGATTTGATCCCCCAAAGTGCAAGTTGTGGTGGAACGAGTGTTTTCAATCCTTCGGGCTTCGACTCAATTTTCTAGACCCAACAACAGTAGTGGATATCAGAAGTTGTAAAATAGCTGACTTGAGTAAAATAAAAACCAAGTATATCCTGTATCTAACTTGTCTCTACGCTCTAGTTACTAGTTACTACGGATGATCATTACCACCACATCAGGCTTACAGCCAGCCTACCTAATACCATGTGTGAGAAGAAAAAGAAAAATGGTTTCAGCGACTATTGAGAGAGCTGCCGTTATCAACCTATCAACCAAATTCTAGTGACAATGGCAAGAGCCAAGAAGAAAAGAAAAGTGGTAGTGGACAATCCACATACGTCACTAAAAGCCAACCAAGGTCATTAAAATAGGTAGGTGCTCAATCTTTGCAGTTGCACTACTTCGCATGGCCCATTCTCGTTTTAAGTCTGTGTAGTGTCTAGTTCCAAGCGTTCATTTTGTTTAGACTCTAGATGTGGATATGCCATGATCCATCATCATCCAACTCCAGCCTCCAACACTAGAAATGAAACCATTTCCCTTGGCTTGGTCATTTCATTTTCTTTCGACAAAATGGAAAATGGGAAAACATGGCTAAAAATAAATTTCATTAACTTTTCCGCGTTTCCCTTGTTTTTGGGAGCCAAAGAGATCAAAGGATTTCATTTTCATGAACGATTTTTAAACAGCTTCCGAAAACCAGTTCCAACCGTGTTTTGTAAGATTAAATTGTCACCGTGAATTTCATTTAATTAGAGGATCTTTCCAACGCAAGCAGTGCCTCCAATATTAACCTCACACACCTGTATGCGTGCTTTGACCACATTATATTGGCTAATGGGAAGGCCATTGCAATATAATTCATGTAAGAGAACCGATGGTAATATTTTATACGTGCATGAAATTTTTCTGATCCGATCTAGTTTTCACTATGGTAGTACTACTTGTGGTGGGCATCTAAATCTAAGCAACGCACAGGAGGATTCTAATCAACTGAACTCAACAAACACCAGCAAGCATAGACTTCATTCAGATGTTTACATAAAAGATATACAAACCACTTCTATTTATTGTTGTAGCAACATAGCTTCCACGACACCAGTAACTACTAAAAACAAGTACCTCGGCATCCATACCCAGACCATTTATTATTCTTCACATCTTATTTTAACTCTTCAAGGCAGTGTATAAGCTGCAAAACCAGTAACAGGAGGAAGGATATATAGGAAATAAGTAACAAATAAATTGAACCGAATAGGAATACCAAGAGCCAGAAAAAAGGAAATCACAGAAGAGACACCCCTTACCTCCACACTTGTAACCAACAGGACGATCAGCAAGGTTGCAGCGCTTGGGAATGGTTACAGCAACTTCTGGTTTGACTCCAGAATTCTTGGCCGTCTGAGAAAGCATTACAGCACAGAGGCAACTTGGCCTCTGGCCCATTTGCTTCACCTGAAGGCAGCACTTGTCAGATACTTGAGCATGCTCATCTTGTGCTGCTGATGCACAGGGAGCCAGTTTGAAGGCCTCCGTTTCAGGAGAAGATCTCCCACACTCGCCAGCCCCATCAACTTTTTCAAGCCCTGAAATGACTACAAGTACAAGAAATGCCACAAGGAAAATGCACTTCGTATGTGCCTCCATCTCTTTAGTCTGAAACTGTGATGAACAAATCTTCCCCCATCCCCCCGGGTTTTATACTGCAACCAGCTCTCAAAAAGTGCTTCCACCTAAAATCCCACTTATTCTAGTGGAGGTGGCACCATGGCAAACACCATTTGTTTAATGACAACACCAACTCCTGAAAAAATGGATTAAAGATAAACTGGCCAGCCCTAGTCTGATGGAAGTGGATACCTGCAATAATCTTCCCTTCTAGCTCCTATTTCTCTATCGCTACTTATGCAAAGGAAAAGCCTTTCATAGGCAGCAGCCATTTTAGAAGCAGTGAACAGTGTCAAACCTCTCTCTCTAGCCACCTGCCCCTTCTTCTCCAGTGTTCCACTTCTATCTCCCCATACCCTATAAAGGGCATTCCTCAGTGAAACCACAGTTGGCGAAAATGTGTAACCCACCTCAGAGCCAACAATCACAGACCCTGTTATGCTAGCAAACCTTGTAGCCATCACTGGCTTGCCAGAAAGCATTGCTTCTAGCAATGTGTGATCCAACCCCTGAGCTCGAAGAGTTGGGTTAACAAAGATATCAAGTGCATTGTAAAACCTTGCCAGTTGTGCCTGCTCCAATGGTCCCAAGACTAGAACATTGGGCCAAAGGTCTTTATATCTACTACCCCAAGGCCCATCCCCTGCAACCAAAATAAAAACTCTTCTCTGAAAGGTCCTTTCTTCCATAAAAATTTGCTTCAGAGCTTCAAACATTATTGGATGCCCTTTATCCTTCACTAATCTCCCAGCCATCCCCAAAACCAAAACTCCAGATTCAGGAATGCCAATCTTCCGCCTGAACTCTTTTCCACTTCCGAAGTCCGGCTTAAAGATTTCCTCATTTACACCATTAAGGATGATGTGAACACGTTCATCAGGGATCATGTAAATTCTCTTCAGAATATCCCCAGCGTGATCACTGGTAGCAACATGGTGGGCATACCTAGGAAAAAACTTCACCTCTTCAACAACCTTGATAGATCTTTCAGTGAGTGCATATGCCCGGGGTTCTTCAGGAGAGCGCACAAGTTCCTGAATGATGTCAGAATGTATGGTCTCATATGCAATCCCATGCCAAGAAACAGCAAGATTTGTGAGATGTTGTGCTCGAGTGTGCAATAGGCCAACACTTTCAGTGTGAACCACATCAAATGGTCTTCCGGTTGAATTTTGGCTTTGAAATTGCTTCCACACTACAGCTTGATCAAGGTAACCTGCAGCTGTAGGTTTAGATAGGTGAAAATTCATGTTGACATGTGGGTATCTAGGGAAGGAGGAATTTGCAGAGTTGGTAGTAAATATATGAAGTTCATGGCCTCTCTTGGCAAGGTCAAGGTGGAGAGTTAAGGCATGGCGTTCAAGTCCTCCAGCAAGATTCCTATGTGGCCATTTCTTGACAAACAGGGCAATTTTGAGGAGTTTCTGAGGTGGTTTTGAGGAGAAAGAGAGGTGGTTCCATGCTGAAGAGAAATAAAAAAGATGAATGGGAAGGCTTTGCTTTGGCAGCATGATGTGGTTTGGGGAATTACAGGGCCTTGAGCAGTGAGACCAGAAGACAAATGAAATGTAATATAGTGAGGAGAGGAGAAGCAAAATGAGGCAGAAACAACGGATATTGAAAGCTATTAACTGATCCCTTGCCATATGTTGACATAGAACAGGTAATCAAAAGAGAGATTAAAAACTTTTGCTAATGAAGAAGGGAAAGCACTTCGGGTCTCAACTGGGAAAGCTCAGGAAGGAGTTCGTGAACAAATTTGGTGAACAATGTTGGGTGTTTTTATTTCAGTTTAAACATAGGAATGCAAGAATTTTTTAGTGTTTTAACTCTCTCTTGGTTCCAAGAGAGCTATGCACATGGGTGTACCAATTTGGAGGAGGCAAATCCCTGAATATCAGGTTGTTTTCATCTAGATCATTTACTTATTGGCTTCATGAACTTTGCTTCTTTAACAGAAAAAATAAATAAATAAAAGAACTTTGCTTCAACGGCACTTTAGCAACCTCCCCATCTCCAGGTCTGTTTACATCACGAGATTTGATATCCTCCTTAAATTGTACAACTCCTTGAAAGTCAATACCATCAAGCCCCTCACTTTCCCAAAATAAATAGACAAATACCAAAATACCAAAGAAAAAAAATCATTCAAAAAATATCGGAGAGTAAATAACTAAACAAAATCAACCACTTCACACAAATTAACATTAATGTTAAATAATAGGAAAACCCACCAACGCATTCATCTAAGCTGCAAATCATATTAAATTGTTAATGGGACATATCACATATAAAGGGTTAAAATATTGTGATTAGGTTGATAGAGAGGGAAGGGGGGGGGACCCTCAAATTTCACATACTAATGATGTCAACTCAGTTCTAGCCCTTAAAGAATGTTGAATGGTCTTCTTGATCAGAGTTTTATGGCTGTTGATGGCTGTAACGGCATAGGAAGAGAAAAAAGAGAAAAAAAATACCTGGAATCACTCACGGGGTGCCTAGAATCACTCTAGGGCATGGGAATCACTCACCACAGTCCATATAGCTAGAATAAGCTGAAGAAAACTCAATAAACTTCATTGCCTTTGTGTAAAACGTCCATTCATATTTATAGACCCTAATCTCATAATAATCCAAAGAGTCAAACTGTTAGACTCAATAATCCTAGTGGGACGTAAACTAAGTTGTTATATCCTATTTCAATTCAAAGAAGACTCAATAACTCTAATCCTAGTTATGCAATGGCTCTGAAATTTTAAACATAAACAACCTATAACTAGACAAATTAAACCCTAATAATGGACCCCACAGAAAATTGCAAAATGAAAAAAATACCCCTAATGTTAAAAATACAGAAATATATAAAATTTCATAAATTTTCAATTTTGACTCTTCAGCTCCTGCATCAACCAATCACTAACTTGGAAGTTCTGCCTTCAAAACTGAAAGAAGGAAAATTAGAAAGGAAGAAACCATCAGACATGTTCTTATATGCCAAGGAAAAAGATAAGAAAAAAGAATGCTCTAAGATCAATAAGATAGAAGCGGCAACAATATGCTTCTCCCTGACCCTGAGAACAGATTAACGGATTCCTCTCTTCAATTCCTTCTATAAAAAGAAATAGTCTAAGTGGAACACACAATAGACTAAAACAAACAAAATAAATATCGCATAATCAATACCATCTCCGCCTGAAGCTGATCAAATTTGCCACAAAAGATCCTTGTGTTATCAAGCAAAACCTATTTCCAATTTTCACCAAACTAAAAAGGCAGAATAGGGGCGAAAGCAAATATAAAAATGAATTCCTTTCCTTCAGAAATGCCGGAACTTTAGCAATAAATTTATTGGGATTCAAGCTTATAAAGATGTATGAACATCAAAGGTGAACTCATTGCAAACCCATCCATACATCCACCACAGAACTTTTTAATACAAGTATATATGTTCAGTTTTCTTTCAAATTCTTTTCATATTGAACACAAATTCTCCCTTTCTGCTCAAAAAAAGAAAAAAAAAAACTCCCTTTCTCATAAACGTGATGTGCATAGAGTATACAGGGAAGTGTGCTTGGATCCTCAAATCCATCAATAACGCAAAGACGAGAGCCAAAAAAGAAATATGGAAATTTAGCGAGTAAAAGCGTATAAGACGAGGCAAACATAAATGAGAAGCGCAGTGGGGACAAAGATGAGAAGAGGGACTATGGCTCCGTAGCTGTAGAAGCTCCCGCAAGCCAAAGTCCCGAGCTTGATCTGAACCACGTTCACCAACGCCATCAACAAAAACCCACATCCGCACACCGACCCGACCGCAGAAACCATGATTCCGACTCGCAGCGCCGTCTTGTTAACACGCGCAAACATACTTTCGTGGCCATCGTGAGCATCGGAGCTCTTTGCAATCCTGATGGCCTGTTTGAGACCCAGAGCAATGAGGCTGGAGAAGAGAAACGAGCTGAAGGAGTAAACGTGGAAGGCGATGAGGTCCTCGGCGACGCTTCTGCCGGGAATGCAATTGGGGTCATCGGTGAGGCTGTTGTTTTGGTCGGTGGGATTCCAGGCGAGGCCAACGAAGACTCCTAAGGTGAAGAGGGAGTTAACGTTAACGATGCCATCAAGGGCAGTTATGTGAATATTCGTGCCAAATTTCCGAGAATGCTGACCGTTCATTTTCCGCCGGCGGGTAATAGATCCGACCGGAGTAAACAAAAATATAGGTTGAGTTTTTAACTTTCTTTCAAAGCAAAGAAAGTTGGAGAAAGAAAGGTGGAACTGTGGAAACCGCGGAAGGCGGAACACGGAACAGATTTAACGGTGGGGAACAGGTAGGCACACATGGACACATGGTGACTCCAATTAATGATGGCCGGATAAAGATAAAAGATGAAATGGGTAGCGTAGTATTTTGCTTTGGTGTTCCTTGTATGGAGAACAGCCAGAGCTGATTTGATGCCTGTTGCCGGGCCCGAGAATTCACAATTTCGAATTGGGATCACTCCTACTCCTCACAAAGCGCTCCTTCCGATTTCACAACAGCGCCCCACACTGACCCACAGCACATCTCGACCATCTATTGAAAACACCTTCCGATGATGTTTTCATACTTGTCATCGCGAGATGTTCCCGATCAATGTTTTCAATCCGTTGATGACCCCGCCGGTCGAATCGCTCGAATCGTCACTCCGTAAATATTCCAGATTCGGTTCAATCAAGACCTGTTAAATGGTTAAAAACCGTTGATTTGGTCAATAACCATTTGATCCGATCGGTTGAACCATTGATTCATTTAACCTCATGACCGAGTCACAGATTGTACATTCAATGCATATAAAAACTTTTGGAAGCCATGGGGTGCCCCCACAAGGGGTGCTCATGTGAACTCATTCCTTACATTGACCTTAGGGACGACTCTGAATATCACCTCTCGACAAAACACATTCCAAACCAATGTTTTCAACCCGACCAATCAAACCGTCACTTGGCCAAAGATTCTAAGTCCGATTCAGTCAAGACCCGTTCGATGGTCAAAAATCATTGGTTTGGTCAACAACCATTTGATCTGGTTGGTTCAACCATTTACCTGTTCGACCCGATTATTGGGTTGCGGTTATAACTTTGCATTCTGATGTCTGATTGAGGTGATTTTTTTTTTTATTTTAGGTAACTTTTTGAAATCTATGCATCTCAATGAGCCGTAGGTGCTTTGCCCTGCTATTTTTGCAAAAAATAAAAAAAAATTTTGCCTCAATTTATAATTTTTAATATTTTTTTTATAAATAAAAAAAAAACTGAGTTAAAAAATATAAATTAAATATAAAAATACATATAACATATCTAATACATATTCATACATTTTTTATTGATAAAATATATATTTATACACATATATAAGGGTGTCAATGGACTAGTTTTGGACCGGACCCGTCCAATCCAAAATCAATTTGGATGGATTGGATGGACCAACAAGATATATTGGATTGGACTTAATCTGATTCAAAATATTTATTAGATTGGACTGGACCTGGTCTGTCCATAATAAATTTATATTAGATTCAGTTGGATTAAGCCAATATATGGTCCACTGATCTAAGATAAAAATATAGGTGTCAATGGACCGGGTTTGTGTTGAAACCTATCTAAAATAAAACAAATTTGAACAAATTAAATGGTCCGGATATTGAATTGGACTGGTCCAAAATATTCATTAGATTGGATTGGACTTGGTCCATTTGTAATGGACTCGCATTGGATTGGATCGGGTTGGACCAAATCCAATCCAATTGACACCCCTACACACACATATATGACATGAAACAGTCTGAACCGTTCGACCCAGCTGGTTGAACAAGTGACCCGCAACTCAGGACAAAAATGGTTCAGCCTCTGAATCGGCTTTTAAAACATTGTTCCAAACATCAACTAACATGATCTCACACCACACATCGCATACATTAGCAGCCATATCCCATAATTTCACACTTGCCGGGCAATTAGATTTGATCCTTGCAAAATCGTCCATTTGTCCTCACAACCTTAATTGTGAAAATCTTTCTACGAATAAAAGAGAGCAAATCAGCCCCCCACAACGTTCCACAGCACATTTCCGTCGTATATTGGGGAATTCCCGATAATACACGGTTGGGATGGATTGTGAGACGTTGTAGGGGCAATCTGGTGGGGACTGATTTGAACTCCCAATAAAAACAATTAAGATGTTGTGAGGACGGTTCTGTGAGAACCTAATTCGAATTCCAGTTCACATGCCAGCGGGTTTGTCAGTTTCTAAAACGAGATCTTCTTCTTGGAATTTTCCACGTGGCATATTTAAAAAGTGGAAATTTCACCTTAGCATATAAGGCCTATTTCGTTCTGCAGCAAAGACGAACAGATAAGTTGATGGTTTCTCACTATGGTTTTTAAAAACGAATCGGTCATAGGTCCGGTTATCGGTTTGAATGGTTTGACCGTTTAATTTGAACGGTCAGTTCGTATTGACAAAAAATTAAAAAATTGGAAAATGGTCAAAACCGTTTAAACGATTCAAATGATTAACCAGCAAGTTCAACGGTTTATTAACCAAAATCAATGGTTTTAGGAGAAAAAGCGATTTTAGAAGAAAACGGAACTGATCAAATGACCAGTTCCTGGTTTTTCCGGTCCGGCCTGATTTTAAAAACAATGATTCTCACGAAGAAGCGTTCATCCGGTGCTATAATTAAGATCTTCCTCTTGGAAGGCAAATTTAAAATATTTGAAAATGACAATGTAACATTTAAGGCCGAGTCCGGATCTCCTGCGAATAAAAACTCTGTTGTGATTAATACCAAAAAAAAGCATAAAAGTATAAATCAATTCTGTTGGATCTAACACCCTACGAACACATCATCGACATTGTACCTCTCGTACATGATGGATCTGGTACATTGGGCTCACACGTGCACTCATGATTGATTATTTAGCCAAATTTGCACATTTGTATTAGCACCAATTACCAACTCTCCCGAATCACCTTGTAACCCAAATGGATCAAATCCAATGCATCTTAAACCCTAAACCTACACAAGTATAAGAATTTTATTGTTTAGTTGGAATCATTGACCAAGTGAATTTCAACTCGTCTAGGGTTACATACTTAAACTACTCCTATAGTTTAGTAAATACACAAGAATTCTGACCCTATTGTTTGCATGGTCAGTTGAAGTATCCCTATAATTCTTGATAGGGGTGAGAAAATGTGTAGGTTCTATTTGAAATCAAATGGAATCGTCCTTAAGCCGACCCTACCCAATTTGTTATAGGGTAGGATAGGGTCTAGTTCCAAATTCTTAGAACCAATCCCAACATAGGTTGATTCCAGGATCTAGGGTTTTATCCTACCCAAACCAACCCAATGAACCAGTCTTGATTGGCCTTGGTGGAACCAGCCTTAGAATCGAACTTGCCTTGAAATAAACTTTAAAATATTTTTAAGAATGTAAAGATTTGAACCCAAGCACTCATTGTTATAAAAGCCATTGTCTTACTTGACCACTGAATTACTTAAATAATTTGATCATTTGTTTTCATTTTAATATTTGAATATGTATAATAAATACTGTAAAAGATACTATTTATAAAAAGCTAAATTATAATATGATAAAATTTGAATCATATGTTAATATATTATAATAATCTAGATATTAAGATATTTAATTTAATCAATAAACATAATATAAGTTTTAAATTATTTATTATCATTATTGAAAATCAACAAAGGACATGTTTCATCTTTTTAAGAAGGAGCGTAAACAAAGAACAGGTTCCACAAATAGACCCTAGAACCGACCTAAGGACCAGAACTGACCTTGGAACCGATCTTCATAGGGTAGGTTCCGGTTCCAAAAACTTGGAACTGACCCACTACAAGGTAGGTTTCAGGTTCTGCCATGGAACCAAACCGAAACGACCCATGCTCACCCCTAGTTTCTAACAATGGACAAAACCATTAAAATATTAAGAGAAAAGATAAAATGATCATGTTGCCCTTCAGTTAAGTAAAGACTAGAGAGGTAAAAGTGTCCTTTAGGTTAACTAGGTTACTAGGGTCGAACGGAGATGTTGTTGAGGAAGTGATCCCAACGAGATTTCCAGTGGAGAGGAGCATAAGAAGGAAAGAAAGGAGAAGGTGACCGGAAATGTTTTTCTCTTCAGCGATTACCTTCTCCTTCAACAATTTCAGTGTGTTTTTCTCTTCAGTGGTTACTAGGTCACCGGAGATCCACTAAGCAAGAGAGTCTGGATGAAGTCCTTTACGTGGGTTGAACGGTATGACCTGCTCTGCCCCGACAATGTGATCCATGGGATTGAATGGTTGTTGGTTCCACGATCCGTGCAAGAAGACTTCAATTGTCGTCAGAGCCTTCACTACATCTCGGCCTTGTTACTTGAGGGAGTACTAAAGGTCGATCCTAGGACCCATCGATTGAAGAAACCGGTGCCACCTTCCCCTGTTAGTTCACCCCCCCGCGCTCCTGATCTATGATGACATGGCTCCAAGTCCATCTATTGCACTATCACCTGTTTTGGGATTGGGAAGACCGCACCATTAAGGGTGTCAATTGGAGTATTGGATTTGTTCCAATCCGATCCAGTTCATTGTAAATCCATTACAAATGGGTCAGGTCTAATTCAATCCAATGCATATTTTAGATTATTTTTGACCGGTCCAATTCAATGTTTGGACCGTTTAATCTGGTTCAGAACTGTTTTAATTTAGATTGGTTTCAACCCAAACCCGACCCATTGACACCTATATTCTTATCCATTTACTAAGTAGTTTAAATATTTAACCCTCCAAAATATTTATGATGAAGTATAAATTAAATATGTTTCCACCTGGAATTTTGGGCAATCCATACAGTTTTGGTTTCCAAGCGTTTGAATCTCCTATACTAGGACCCTATGTTCGGTTATAATGCCATTGTGGGTGGGGGTAAGGTTCTTATGGGTAAGACTGTAGCCTGTAGGAGGTCCGGACCGGGTTTCATGGTTTTAGATACTCCATAGGGTGAGGTTGGGCTTTCGCTTGGGCCAAGTGTCTTCTTATTTGTTCAACTATTAGATTAAATTATCAGACTGGGGTTTGATTATGATATATATATATATATATAATCCAAAAGTCCAATGCCTATTTTGACTCTAGATCCAATTATCAATTATGTCGGATTTAAGATGTTGAAACTTGTATCTTGTTAATAATCACAATAAAATGGATGCAGATTAAATCTTAGTCCAACATATTGGGGTTCAGATCCAAGAGTTAAATAATCATATTGGTTGCAGATTTAGGTAGATGCGATCCATTTATAGCCCTGATTAAATACATGCTTTTAAATTTAATGTTGAGGCCCATCTGGCTGACTTAAGGCCCATGTATTGCCAAAACCCAAAATACATACATAGAGAGAGAGAGAGATGGGACTGGATCAGCCTAGTGGTCAATCTCAACTCTATATTGAAGGTTTGGAGAGGAGAGTATAGAGAAACGCTACAACAGAATGCATACACACGTGTGTATACATTGCAAATTTGCAATGGGGGCATACTTTGATTTCATTAGTTGCGAATGCAAGTTGGAACCTAGTTACGAATTTTAATGTAGGTGCAAATTCAGCCAGAATCTTACAATGAAATTTGCTCAAATTCAAGTAAGGACAGCATGGAGAGGCTAAATGATGATCATGACTTGATCATTGAAAAGTTTAAAACGGTCACTAACAATTACTATTGCTATTGTAATTGTTATGAAAAATGAAGGCTAACCGCTACCTCACAAGACAAATTAAAATACAATATTTTTTTCGTTTACTGTAAGATCATATCGTACCATTTCTTTCCTTGGAACTATTAAAATTGTTTTGCTCTGTGTCTGCCATTGCCATATATGATGGTTGGACAAAATCAAATAAAACTGTGCTTGATTTTTAATTTTCTTTAATTGTATGTCAAAAAAAAACTGATTCTGTTAGCATTGCCGAACAAGAATGCTGGCAACAGCAAGAAACAACGACTAACAACAGAAGTAAGCGTTGCCCATGAAAAAGGTACCTGAAGATATTGGAGGTAGAAAGCAAGCTGAAGTGATAGTAGTAGTGTTGAGTATATTTTACTTTATTAAAGCGGTAGCAGTGCCACCAGCTCTAGTGCTCGACGTTGTGATTGTGATTTGTGACGGTGTGACCTTTCTTCAAATTTGAATTGATGGATGGGAGGCCCCCCCCTGTACGAGAGGGTCTACTTTCCATTAGCAAGTCTACCCACATCATCCAACATCCTCTGCTTGGACTTATTAATAAAGGTATTGTCTTGTGAGGTGGTGGCGTTCTGTTCATCATGCATGCCAACCAAGTTGATTTTCCTGGTTGCTTCAGAAATGAAAAAACCAGCTGCCTCCACAGCAGCATAAAAATTGGATTTCCATTTATACATCCTAAGACTTAAATCATGGCTCCAATTGGGTAACGTTCTTCCCCACATGTCACATTAATTCCTGCTAAGGTGCTAGCAGCTACCAGAGACCAGAGAGCACTGAGCACATGTTTCTAGTTTGTATTTTGGATGCTTCAAGTCAAATTGGACGGTTTTAATTTAACAGGTAAATTGCAATGCATTCATACATCAGCTGGCTCCTGCCTGGGCATTAACTTTAAGCCGTTGGAGCGTGCACTACCTGCTGCGGGATCCATCACGAATTCACGATCCAATTGTCCATATTCTTGATTCTTAAAGCGGCTCGATATTCCTATAGGCTGCGTTTGGAAAAAGTGTAAATACAAAACTTCATCGGTGGAAATAAAGAACGCTCAAATTTATCAGGGTAAAAAACAAAGCGGCTGAACGCATGTTATACACTCCTGTGCATTTGGCAAAACGGTGTAAAACCATCAGTGTGCGTCTGAACCTCGAACTTGGCACAATGAGAACAGAGAGAGAGAGAGAGAGATTACCAGCGCTTACATTAGTCCTGTAAAATGACGGTATCGGCAATCTCCAACAATGGGTTCAGACAATCCGAGGAGAATTTCCTAGCAAACAAATACGAGTAAGTCGAGTTCGAAACTCGGAGCATGTAGATAAGCTCAGGTGACACTTCGGCCGGTCGATAGGTGTGTGGGTGTTGACTACAACCCTTTGGATCCTCTATTGAGAGAAGAGTTGGAACGTAATGCTCCTCTGGATAACACGACTCGGTCTTCAGACATGGTAGTCTGAACTTCCGCCACAGCTTGCGATCCCTAATCACTAACAATGCGTGCCGCCTCGTGAGCACGAAGAACTGCGACCCAACTCGGAATTGCTCAAAGGGTATCTCCGGCATCATCACGTCTTTCCCCCTCGCCGTGTATCTCTCCCATAGACCGGGCTCTTTTGACAGTATCTCGATGAAGCTTCGATACCTAACTTGCCCGTACCAAGTCGAAGGGGCGTCTGGGTCGGCGTAGGGCGAGTTGACGGGAGCGGAAGCAAAGAGGGAATGGTAAACGAATTGAAAGGAGTGATGTGGGATGCAGTGCTAGGAGACGAGAGCGAAGAAGGAATTGGTGGGATCGTCCAGAAGGGCTGTGATGGTGCGCGATTTGATTATTCCTAACTGGAGGGTGATCCAAACTCTACATGGACGACGAGCTGGATCGATCTACAAAATAGTGTATCAGAGAACCCGGGGTAACTCACTCGACGAGGTCGCTCTGATGCTTATGTCAATAATTATGTTGTGAATTCGAGCTAAACGTTTGAGAACTTGAATGTTAGTGAGTAGAGTAATCACGCGTAACTTGCCTTAAGATTTCGAGTCTTTATATACTGGAGTAGTCGTGGGCCTTTTGAAGGAGAGCAGTACGTGGATGAGGTTTATCGTCTACCTCCGATTCAGGCGGAACCGAGATGGGTTCTTATCATGATCTCGGGAGATTCGGGATCTATTGCTCATCGCGACCTCAAGATATTTGGGATCTATTGGGGAGGCCTTTGGAGTCGGTTATGCGACGCTTCGACTTGTTAGCTCCGAGTTGGAATTTCAATTCTTTAGTCTCGAGTTGGATCGGGTGCCAGGGTGCCTCTACACCGAGGTGGATTTTGGACTGAGGTGGCTGAATACCCGAGCTGTAAATGTTAGAACTGGGCTTACCTGGTTGAGTTGTCATCCTTCAATCAAATCGCACTTACGTATCCCCTTCCTGCTAGGTTGTGCCAAATCACCCTCCATCAAGGCAATGGTAAAAAGTCTTCGGACGGCGGAGATTAGGGTGGGGGAGGCCTTTGAATTTTTGATCATTTTCCTATAACTAAAATAATTCCTTGTTACTAGCCCCTTCTATTTTTTGATCCTTTTCCTATAAGTGGTTGGAAGTTCAACTCTAGTTACTAGCCCCTTCTATCCAAGGTTCAAAATATATATCGGCCTGTATTGATATTATTTTTTTATGTTTTTTTTTAAATAATTCAGAGGGGTCGGTCTACCTTTTGAACAACTTGTCAACCCGAAACACTCCCTATAGAGGTGTATCGAAAAGGTTCCGATACGATACATATCGGATGGGTCAATAAGTAACAAAATTTTGATCTTTGCTTTGTCAATTCCCTCTTTCTATTACAAGTCACTTGAGCTTTATAAAAGGGACCAATATATACCATTATGGTTAGTTTGTTACATTTGATGATTGAGCAAGTGTAAAATTTTGCGAGTATATGTGTGTATTAATATCCATATAGTAAACAATAAAAAATGCCATCATCTGGGCATTTGGTCTAGTGGTATGATTCTCGCTTAGGGTGCGAGAGGTCCCGAGTTCAATTCTCGGAATGCCCCCTACAAGTGTAAGCCTTTTCTAATCTTTTGTGGTCCCCTCATGTGGCGTGTTTCAATGATACTTACGTAGAAATATTCTCGGAAATTCACAAAACTTTATCTACAGAGGCAATTCACTTTTTTATTTTTTGTACACACTCTTCATTGGACTCCAAAATCACACCTTCAAGTCTCTGTCATCCAAACACAGCCACATTCTAATGACAATACCTAGATATTTTACAGACAGTCAGACACGGTTCACTTGATTAAGTGATATCCATGAACCCATCAAACTGTCAGGCTAATTTCAATAAACATGGAACTCGTTACAGCAAAATTAGAAAACAAACAATTTGATGGTTGATTTTCCTAACCCTTGATTCCACTTGCCAATTTATAATGACAGTCTTAAAGCTGAAATGCCTTGTGAGACACAACTGGTTTCTGCTATGAAAATTCAGTGGTCTCTTGCTACAACTTAATCCCAAACTGGGGGGCGGGCCGAGGACATCTTTCTTGCTCTCATGACTTTCAAGTTTCAATGCTGGGAAGAGGTTACATTCGCTTCAGCAATAATTCAGCATGAGACTGTACCTGACCCCTCAACTTGATTGCAGGAACTGTTTCTTTTTGTATCACGACCAAGATAATCTGTCAGGGCTTTCTTTACTCCAAACCCACGATGTTGCAGCTTGTTGTTGTTGTCGTTGAAGAAAGGGGACCTCTCTCCTCCTGCAGGGCTAACCAGAGGTGCAGGTGACAAGCTTGGAGTGGTAAAAGCAGTAGTATACGGAGTGCTTGAGACAGGCACTGAATACAGAACTGATGCCTTCTTGTGGGCAATTCCAATCACACTAACTGTGGGGACTGATGAATGTTGATCTGAATGCTTAGTCAAGTCATCAACATAGAGCAGATCATCAATGCGGGCAACAATATTAAACGCCAGGCTCTCCAAGACTCTTGAGTAGCTCTCTAAAATGGATTTCCCAACATCCTGAAAAAACTAAAAAAAAAAAAATGTCAATTCCACGAGGTGTAGAGCTTGCAGGATAAGGCAGTAAAACAAAGTATAAATGTGAACTAGATATAACAGAATATCTGGACCTTATTGTATTGTATCTTGCTCATATCCAAGGTTGTCTGTGGAAGACCAGGGTACCGCTGCTGCAAGCAAAGAAATAAGTTTTCAGCTCTATCCGCAAGCAATTCCATTCTATCTCCATCAATGATCAATTCCTTGACCATTTCCCAGGATGACTTAGCAGTCGAGCGATTTTTGCTTATGGGTTTTGAATCTATTCTCCGGCGCCAAAGGTATATTGATGCCTCAACACGGTTGGCAATTTCTAGGGCCTGATGTTCAGAGGAAAGGTCAAGGCAATCAAGGAGGCATTCGGGGAAGAACTGATCTGATGTAATATACCGGTAAATCACATCACCTAGGCAGGCTCTTCCATTCTGAGACCACATCCAAAAAGACTTTCAATATTAGCTCCTTTTCATATCAGACAGGATTCAGAATAATCTCATCATGTAGGAATTGTGTACCTTTGGTAGAGATTCCAAATATGACTCAGGGACTTCCATTTCAGCTAAAGCAATGCTGTTGATAGCCATTGCAGCTTTAAGGATTTGATTAGTGCATTCACGTTTATGCTGCAACTCTCTTCTTGAATTTTCATGGAGACCACCAGGAGGTACACGGGGCACAGGAAGCCACCACTTGTCCTCTTGGCGCTGAAGGGGTCTGCGAAAAGAGGCTGACCCATCAGCATCTGGGGTTATAATTCCTTGGTCGACGTACCAGAATTCTGTGTTGCTAAAGCTATCTAATATTTCCTGCTCAAGTTGTTTAAGAAAAATAATCAGAAACTTTGGCCCTTCCATGTTGCAAATACAGGACGCTGAGAGAAGCAGTAGGAATCTTACAATAAGCATATTGTCTAGTTTACGCAATGCTGGAAGATTGATAAAAAGATCTGATCTGGGTCTAGAAGTCATAACCTGAATTGTGAAAAAGAGAAATTCATCAAAACAAGTTCTACAAATGAATTACTCATTTTCCAATTTTTGAATGATTATCTTCTCAATTTTAACCATAAGTTTTACATATATTTTATTACTGGAAACAAGAATAGGAATTAATAAAGTCTTAAAAGAGACGCGGTAAATTGAGTTAGACATTCAACACCACTAAGGAGTGATTTAACCATTCAACCAACGGCTAAAATTGGATGCCACCAAGACTAAAAAAAAATGTCAAGCATAGGTATTACCTCAATCTTTCTTCCATCAGGAAATGTTTGCCAAGAGGATGCCAATTCGACAATGTGATCACTAACACAAAGAAGCCATTCCATCTCTCTTTGCCACATCGCTTTCTTCTCTGGGGGTAGGGGTTCTAATCTCCAAAGCTGCCCAAAAAGGGTAGCTGAGATGCAATGGAAAAAAGAAAAACAGCCATCAAGAGATGCCAGTTGGGGATGAAATAGCAGTCTACCAATGACATGAAGCAGCAACGCTAACAAAGGAATAAATAAATAAGAAAATCACACCACAAAGATTGGTAATGGCATTCGAAATGGTCAATGCTGTGCAAACTCCTTTTCCACATCCGGACATGTCTTCACCAAGTAACAATTTTGAAAACTTCTCTTTCATCATCTCAACCTCTATAGAAATCCCAAAATCAGAATAAATCAGTTAAAATGAGCTAACCAGAAAATTGTTATCAACAAAATGAAAGAAAAAGGAAAAAAAGTAGAGAACAGAACATACCCGAAATCTTTGATCCTTGTTTGTCTAATTTCTTATTATCCAAATGGGGCATTTTGTCAGCATCAGAAATCGAATAATTTTTTAACTCCGACTTCGGAATCGGCCAGCCTGGTGAAGGCGGTGAGGACGCCTCTTCTGAACTACTATGGTTCCGTTCTTCATTCGTAGTCCCAACAGACGTCAAGATATCAGAGCTTGAACTGCAGGAACTGCTATCCTGAGACTCTTCAACGGAATCCGTAAATGACTCAGTTTCGTTCCCATGGAAGCCATTTTTCCTCTCATTGATTCCCCCAGACTTCTCAACTAAACACTCCATTCCCACCTATGTTGCTTCAATACAACCAGAAGAACCACATAAAAAAGAAAAAAAAAAAAAAAGAACCCTTCACAACTAAACCCGAACAAAGAAATCTTGTCTAAACGATCCCATTTGAAAATCGAGCTCTGAAAGACAAGCTGCGTAGAGATTTCGATACCCAAGAGCCCAAAATAGGAAATGGGTTAACATTAACAGAGGTTCAAAGCTTTGGTCAGTGACGGACAATACTTTGGTCGTGCACCGTTGCTTCTCGTTCGTCTTCTTGTTGGGTAAAAGCTCTGTCCATAGGGTTTTTCAAATATTTACTAGGGGTAGTACAGAGGAAAATAGCGGTGTACTCACTTTGTTCTCCACGTGCAACGAGAGAGAGAGAGAGAGAGAGAGAGAGAGAGAGAATGCGGTGAGAGATTATGGGGAACAGAGGAAGGAAGAAAAATTAATGGATTTACATTTTTCACAGGTCTGAACGTGAAGCCAAAGAAAGAAAGCATAAGCATTTATATATGAAAAAAAATCTTTCTAGGCATGTGAGAGAAGGAAGTTTGTATATTTATACGAGAGGAGTGAAGTTGGGCATGATTATTACATGAGCTTGCTGGTAACATGTGAGGCGAGCCTCGCTTTTCAGTTTGATTTTAACCTAATCCGTCCATTATTATTGCTCCTAATTAATTTCAGGCTAAACGGTATCGGCCACTGCCAGTGGTATCTCCTTGCTGTAACTCAACTCGAATTTTCTTTTGCTAATTTGCTTTAATAAGGTTCGACGCTACAAGAATTAACCATGAGCTTGTAAACAGAAAACACACAACTGCATGCAAGCACAACAACCTAACTCTTTGGCGTTTCAAATCACAACAAAAAAATAAAACCATGAGAACCTTAGTACCAAAAAAAAAAAAATATTCCAAGTTTGTGTGTAAAATAATAAAATAATACCAAAAAATTCATCCAAAGTATTCATCTTATCATCCATCGCCATGCGAATTACCAATTGACCCCTTTTATTTGATTGGATTTACAAAAGGACATCTGGGTTTAGACTTTAGAGTGAAACGCGACCTATTTGGCGTTATATATAGGTGTAGGGGGGGGGGGGGGGGGGGGGGGGGTTAGGCACTTAGGCTTGTTTGTTAGTCCGGCCCTTAAGGTGTCCTGTTGTTCGTAACGCTATCTCGGAACCTGGAAGGAATGTGAGGAAAATGAGGGTTTTTATTTTTATTTTTTGATAATTAAGTGAGATAAAAAAAGGAAAAAAACAGAGCCAGTTAGAACGACCAAAGAAACAGATGCAAACAAAGAGATAAAATTATCTTTTTGTAAGATGACATTTAGCGAAGTTGGGGGTCGAAACAAAAACGATGAATCCCCTATGTGCAGCTTCATGGTTTCATGAAGTTCGCAGCACAGCATACTTCCCCCTGTCCTGAGAGTGAGAGTGAGAGGCTTCAAAAATATCTTTCGGCAGTCGGCACCAAAAACAAAGCACTCATCCAACGTAACAAGTAAGATTTCTTGCTAGCGCTAAACCTTCAGCCTCTCCATTAACGATGAATCAACATTACCGAATGTGAGGTATTGGTAATTATATCTACAAAAATCAAAATGCATTGATCGAAAACACCACCTTAATCAGGTACAGGGATAAGTGTTTAACCCGCATTATGTTTGGCTCGGAACAGAGTTGGGACTTGGGATCCTTGGACCCCAGGGTGGATTCAATAATTTTCTATTGTTAAGTTGCGTTTGGATGAATTTGGTAGAGTCAGCATCTAGTTGAGGAGGCAAACCCAAGCAAAACCTGACCCCATGACATGCCTTCCAACTTAATTACAGGGACCAAAAAGAAATCAGAGGATGTAGGCATTCCAGATCTAAAGGGGGGAAATGGCCACAATGTCACCCACCGAACACGCATAATAAACTGAATTATATACTTCAACGAAAGCTTCAAATGCTTTATCACTCTCCAGTCTCCAACAAAAGTTTTTATTACAATTTTACTGCTGATAGGAAAGGCACTTATGGCTTCTGCTTCTGTACCTATAATGATTCATGTAATTTTCCTTTGGCTGCAGGGGGAATTTGAGTTGTGTTCAGGAGCAACTTTTTAGGCTATTTCTTTTGCAAAGGCCCAAGATGCAATTCTGTAGTGAAACTTTATTACCCTGTAATTTTTTTAGAAATATAGATAAGATTTTTTTCTGTAGTTAAATCTTTCACTTTGTAAAATTTGTATATAAAATCTAGATTGTTGATTAAGCTAAAACTTTTAATGATGTTTGTTATTGGTGGTATAAGCCGCCCGGCTGGCTAGAACCTTGTATTTGTAATAAAAACCTTTTAACTATTTTGTTCTCTCCTCATTTTTCTCATCTCTCTATCCATTCTTCGAGATCCGAACTGCTCTTCACATAGGGCATTCACACGTACAGAACATCTCTTGTATTATTCATGGAAGATATTTTCAATGCACAGTGGATTCCCCCTTTCTTCTCCCTCTTCCTCTTTTTATTTATTTCCACTTATACGTATAAAAATTTAATTAATTTAATAAAAAATAGAAAAAGTAATATTATAGTGGCCTGTGACTGTGTCAGTAAAGATCACCCCGAGTGCTTCAGAACTCGGAACAAAAAAGTGGAAATGGGTTTGTATCAAGTATCTACTTTTAGCAAGCAGCAAGCGGGAAGACAAAAATATGTGCGGGAAATTATGGTGGGATTCGGGGATTGTTGAGGCTGTCAAAACATACTCATGTCGCATCCCCTAAAACCATTTTGTAATCTTCTTTTATTTATCCTCTAAGACTATGTTGGATCAGATATATATCTCAATGGAGTAAATCAATCATAAACGATGTTAATGGATCACTACTCAGATAAAGTGTTTTAGGTTATTTGGTTTGACAGAGAATAAAAAATCCTTGGTTCTTTTTTTCAGTTTTATGTGAGAATCGGAGAAAGTTTATTTTCTTGGATACCACTTTTCTGGGTAAGTGATATCCATCTCCTACGTGTATAAATAACTTTCTCACATAGGAGAAAATTACCAACACTTGAATGAAACAAAAATACCCCTTTTAATAATGGACTTTTATGATTAAAATTGTCATTACCTTATTTACTTGAGAAATATAAGAACATGGGTTAAATGCACTTATTGGATAAGTGTTTTCCAAGAAAAACTTACCGAAGTAATTGCATTTACAGGCTGGATAAATAATTTACCAAAAAGCAAACAGGGCCAAAGAAAAACAAAATTCAGGAACTTTTCTCAAAAAAGAAAAAAAATTAACAACTTTCATTTAATTTCTTTTTTCTCTTTTTTTTTTTCTACTAAACCAAATACAGCATTAAAATTATTGTTACCGTTGGTTAAGTAGGAAATTACCAATTAAACATTATTATTATTTATAAATTCTTTAATTTTTCTTTTTTTTTTGCTCAATATTGATGTGCCTAATTAATTAGAATTTCCTCCCCAGTCCCGAGTCGCCTCTAGGTGTGCCTTGCCCTTTTGGTGGATGGGGCATAAGGACTGCACCACCCGGCAACCGTACCGGTCTCTATTTCAGAAGACCCAAAAGTAGTAGGCGGAGTACCTCCAACTTCCAAGATCCAACTACTCCATTAGTGTTATATGCTTGTATAATTGAGCCCGGAGCACAACTGGGTTAAGCCCAATTTTATTAAAATGAAGCTTTGCTAATTACTACTATATGCATACCTATCGATTGGTTGGGCCTGGGCGTTCTACAAATAGGTTCCTAACAGATTGCAGTGGACCGACTCTCTTACTGAGACCACTTCGTAGTTCGTACAACACATATGCCTATTCAAATCGGAGGGTTTGGGGTGGAAGACCCTCTGAGATCGGCTTCGTTCAGGACAAGTCTGTGCTTACACCGCCCCAACAGTCTCTTGCTTGCAACCTTATATCCGGAATATCTCTCCATGAAATAAAATACGAGTGTGAAAATATTTTCAATACAAGACTGTTTGAATGGGCATTGCCCTGATGGAAGTCGAATTCAGACCCTCTCAATAACCTTTTCATTCATCAAGCAGACCCAATTTGTTATTTTATAATTAAATAAAAATTTTATTAAATGGCATATAATAATATTATTTTAAGATTTATTTGTAAGGTCCATTCTCAAAAAAGTCCAGGGCCTACTTTGGCAGCCTTAAGCTTTCTGAAACATGATAATGGTCCTTCACTGTTTGCTATCTTTTTCTTCGAAACTTCTTTTCATTTTTTTTATAGCTATTCCATGCTCGGAAAGACTTCATAAACAAACCTTGGACCTTTAAAAATTTTAAATCGGAATTATTGAAATCAGAATCAGAACTCTTATTCTTAGGGGAGGGGGAGGAGGAGGAGGAGGAAGTGGCCATTCCCTCAAATGAAAAAATGCTACTCTACCAGGAATAGGAATAGGATTCGGATTTCATCCAATCAAACAGTTGGAATTGAAATAAAGCATTCTCATTCTGATTCCAAACCCTTAGACCCACAAAAAGAAATGAACGGTTTTTTTAATCCAACAAAAACTCAACTGGAGTAAGCCCAACTTGGGTGTACCTGGGTTGATCACGTGGCAAATTTTCTATATGACCCAGTCCAGGCCCATATACTTGACCCTTTTACTTGAATAGACAATCTGCATTCCTGATTTGTGGTTATTGGTAATTTAGCAAGCAGAGAACGTAGAAGTTAAAATTAAACACAGTTAGGAGTTTGGTAATTAACCGCGTAAGTAACTGAACTGAACAACTTATTGGTTTGTCTTGCAGCGGACCAGCCTGACATTCAGCTAATAAGGCAGACTTAGAATTTTAGCCTGACAGGGTAGGACCTAATTCTGGAATTTCCAATCAATGCGGTTGTGGTCTTCATAGTTTTTAACTTATTATGAGAGCTTTTGGACGTGGCTTGCTGGTCCTAAGGTAAATCTGAAATCTAGAACATATGAAAATCTGATGGGTCCCCCATTCAATGTTTTAGATATGTGGTATAAGATGAACTTTTCTACAAAGAGATTGTACTGCTAGCATTGCCCAAATGACGAAATAAGTGTACTCGGCTTAAAATTCTTGGAGCATTATTTGTTTGCAGTGCAAGTTTTATTTGCACTAGTGCAAATGGGTTGAGTGTGAGTTTCAAAAAAGTAAATGGATATTTCTTGCTGATTTTAATTTTTTCCATTTTGCATCCAAAAGCAAATGGATGGGGTGCAAACTTCTGTTTATTTTATTTCACATCTCACTTTATTTTGTTTGTTTGGGAGGAGTGAGATTAGAGGTAAGATAATGAGGCCCAACCATTTTATTTTTTAGCCTTCCAACAATGGGCAAAAATTATATAGTCCACACTTGAAATGAAATAAAATCAAGATAAGATGAAAACAATATAAATTTTGCAGTAGTTTTTGGCATGCTAAAAATTTGCAT